TATTTAATATTCTTTATTTCAGTCAGTGTATGCTTAATTTCTAGTTGGTTCTTTATCACAACATCGAGGGTCTCATTAGATTTCTTGAGGATCTCACTACATTTATTGGCAGTTTCTAGCAAATTATTGAAAGACCTTAAAAGTGTGTTTTTTAGCTCTATAGCCTCCATTTCTGTCATGTTTCTTTGTCTCCGCATTATTTATGCTTTCTTGGTGCACCCCCTTGTGGTCTTTGTGCTCAGTCTTGTTGTAGTTAAGCCTTGATTGTTGTCGGCAATACCAGGGGGGATTTGACCTCCAGGCTAACTGGCTATGAGAGTCAGCTGTGTCTGCAGTGGGAGAGCTTCTGTGGTGGATCTTTGGGGCGGTGCTAATCTAGCGTTTGCCTGAGACTATCTGGCAAATGGCTCTGCACAGGGCTTAGGTGGGGTGAATCCCAGGGGATCTACAGGTCGGGCAGAGGGAGCAGTTATGGCTGCTCTCAGTTCTGTCCCTAGGGGCTCTGCCTCACAGAGTCCCAGCAACTGCTGCAAACCTCGGAGAGAAAGCTGCCTTCGAGTTCCGACTGAAGCCGGACAGTCCCGCTTCTCCCGTTTGAGTCTGGGTCCCTAGAGACTCGCCCGGCTCTGGAGCTCAGAGTCTGAAGCTCCCTCCCGATTGAAAACAACAACCGTTCCCTCTGCCGAGCCAGCGCTCCACGCGCACTCTGCACCTGAGTGTTTCACTTCAGCACTGCGCCTCCTCTGAGTCTGGGTATGATATTCTCTTTCCTCCTAGTTGTAGAGCTTTCACTCAGCCAGCCTTCCTGTGGTTCTGGATGATGTCCGTTCCGTCTTTTAGGTGTAATTTGAATTGGTTGTTCGAGGCAGCAATCTCCGGCGTTAACCTATGCCGCCATCTTGGTTTTTTCTAACCCACTCATTCTTAGTCATGCCTTCATGCCCTGTGCCCCTGTTTAGGACGAGATATTCTTACCAAACTAGGGCCACTCTGCAGCCCACTCGGCGCCCTTCAGCCTCCCCACTCCTTCTGCTCCTGGCCCCCTCCCTTCACGGGGACGCTGATCCCCCACTGCCATGTGTCCCCTTATGGGGCCCAGTTGTCCCAGACCACAGTCGCTTACCTCAGTCTTGCTGTGAATACCTTATCTCCTTATCTCCTCCATGACTGTCCCGTCCTCTGAACAAGAAATGTTTTCCTTCCTCAGGCTCACTGGGTACTCTTGCCTCCAGGTTCACAACTGTAGTCTTCTTGCAAACCTCCTCTATGACATGACATGGCGAAGGGACCCCCTCACTGAGCCCACAGATCCCCAGGCCAACATCCTCACCCCTTTAATGCTTTGAAAAGTGCTCTGACCTCAGCGCCTTCTCGCCCCATCCCCCTCCACCCTTCCCAAAGGAAACCTCCTTGAATGCACAGGTTTATTCAATAGTCTGACTATTATCAGAAACTGAGATCATTATCTCTGGGAAAAAATGTAACTTTAAAATCCAAATGGCTAGAAGCCTGGGAGCAGGCAACCTGCTCCCTTCCCTTCCCCCACCCCCTCCCCGCCCT